TCACCAAAGACAGCAATAACAGACCTATGATGCTCTTAGACATTCAGGATTGTTCACATGTCCTTTCCCTAGACTTTTCCTTTCTAGACAAATAATATTAAAAAGAGGACAGACTATGGAAAACTTTTACACGCGCTGGGAAATCAAAACTTTTGTATGACTTGCTTTACTGTGATTTTCGTTTTATTTCAGTGGTCTGGAATGAACCTGAACTATGGCCGGGGTATTTGTATCTTGTAACTGACCCGCCCCACACTTTTGTACTTTCTTGCAGGCATTTAATTTGGCTTCCCTCACTAAGCAGAAAAGGCACCAAACAAGCCTAGAGAGAATGACTGGTCCAGGATCACCCAGCGACCTGGTGCAGAGTAAATCTAGAACTATATTTAGTTCTCCCTTCCGCAAAAGTCCCTGCTAGACTTAAGTCCACTGTTAAATCTGTGATGTTCTACCTAGCAATCGGATGTAGCGAGGGGTTGGATGAAAACACTTTCCACCAGTTAACAATATATTCCTAGGGTAACTAGGATTCTAAGACCTTTGCCCTGCTGACCCAGTTGGAGACATTCCTTTTGGTCTTCAATACACCTAGGGTCTTGCCCAAAGGCCTTTGCATTTGCCTGGACCTCTCCTCTCTCACACCGCCATGTTGTCTCTTCTCATGCTCTGACAGCTTTAACCTTCTCACACCTCAGCACTACTGCCATCTCCTTTGGGAGTCTCCAGCCTTTGGCCTTCTTTAAGAGCCTCCCTGGGCGCCAAGTTCAAGTTCTCTGTATATCAAATGCTCGCAGCTGGGAAAAGGGACCGCTTGCCCAAGTCCCTCTCTGAGCCTCCCTTTTCCCTTCAAGCCCGCGAAGCGCTTAGAGAGTAGAGACACAACCACGGGACGTGGTCGTAGCTTTCACGTCAATAGGGTGACCCGGCTGCCTCCTGGATCTCGTCTCCCAGACCCTCGAAGTGTGGGCACAGGTAGGAGACCCAGCTGCTGGGCTCTGGAAATCCCTCAGCCAGCGCCCGGGGCCACCACGCATGCTCCGCGCTGGCGGCCTCCCCGAGGTCGGGGGCGGGGCCGACACGCGCCTGCGCAGTCGCTTGGCCCGGCTTCCGGGCAGGGCGGGCGCTATGGGGCTCAGGGCTGGCGTCGCCGAGTAGCGGCGGCGTGTGGGCGCGGACAGCGGGGCTCTGGACCCAGGGTCCTCGGGGACGGCCGGAGGGCGCGGAGAGAGCCTAGGTTCGCCGCCGGCTGCCACCACCTGGCATGTCGGCCGAGGCCTCAGGCCCGGCGGCGGCCGAGGCCCCGACCCTGGAAGCCCCTAAGCCTTCGGGTCTCGAGCCTGGCTCCGCCACCTACGGTCTCAGACCGCTGACTCCTAACAGCAAGTACGTGAAGCTGAACGTGGGCGGCTCGCTGCACTACACCACGCTGCGCACCCTCACGGGACAGGACACCCTGCTCAAGGCCATGTTCAGCGGCCGCGCGGAGGTGCTCACGGACGCCGGAGGTATGCCTGCCGCCCTACCTGTGCGGTCCTCCATCCTCCAGACCCAGTCTTCCTTTCCCCAGTCTTTCATCTCCCGGTCTACCGGTCCCCGTGCCCTTCTGTCGTATCACTGGTCCGGTCACCTGCTTCTGCCTCCGCCAGCCCCCATGTTCCCATTTCATCTTTCCTTTCTCATTCATAAACACCATCCTCCAGTCTGTACTCTCAGAAATAACCAACATTATGGATGGAGCACCCCTTTCCCCCAGTTCTGTCAGGTGGTAAGTGATTTAACATGGCACCCCAGACTTTTCGTTACCACTCCCACTCAGTAGTCTCCCACCCTTTCAACCCTCAGCTCGAGAGAATCAGTCCGGCAGCCTTCCAGGCAGCCTTCATCTGTGTCTTCAACTGCCCAGCATTTTGGTCGTTTGTCTACCTCAGCACCACTGAAAGAGCCCCGAGGGTTGAAGGATCTTGTCTCTGTGTTGCCCTAACACAGATCCACCTGCCCTCGAGGAGTCCATCTGTAAATGCAGGTTATAGCAGAAGGCCACTTTGGAGTTGCCAAGGATACTTGTATGGAGAGTGGACATTTCTCTTTGACAGGCGAACCTTAACTTCTTGAAGTGTTGCGTTCAGGTTTTGTTTGCACACACCCAACTGGATCCTTAAGTGGGGTGTGGGGAGGAGGAAGAGGCAGGATTCAGAGAGGGTTAACAAAGATTGTGAATTCAGGAAAATACATTTTGGGAAGGTCTCCGTCTGCAAAAATCCAAAGGTAGGTATTTGTAAAGTGCCTTTTAGGGCTAGATACAATAGTAAAGGAATCTGACAAGATTCGCTTTATAGAGTTCACTTTCTGTGGAGAGGTGAGAACAATAAACCTACAAAGACCAAAAATACATGTAGTTGTACAAAGTAACAATCCTTTCAAGAATATGAGGTCAAAATGGTAATGAACTGGTGGGGAGGACATTTTTATTAAATAAGATGGCCAGAATTAATACCAGAAGTTAGAGGTTCATCAATAAGACTAATTCTCTGCCTAGATACATTAAAAAGAGGCCTATGTGATTTGTTTTGAAAGAATTTTCTTGAATGTGGTAATAGAGGTTTGAGCGAGGTCAGTATTCAGACTTACTTGTAGGTTTGGAATCCTTCTTTCCATAAACATTTAATAACTCCAGGAGCCCCAGCAAAGCCATCCTTCTTCTGCCTCTCCCCATCCCACCAGGCTGGGTGCTGATCGACCGGAGCGGCCGCCACTTTGGTACCATTCTCAACTACCTACGGGACGGGTCTGTGCCACTGCCTGAGAGCACCAGAGAACTGGGAGAGCTGCTGGGTGAAGCACACTACTACCTGGTGCAGGGCCTGATTGAGGACTGCCAGCTGGCTCTACAGGTGAGGGTCCCTCCCCATCTCTGAGTCACGTCCCTCTGCTGTATCCCTGAGAGATCAATACAGGGACGTTTTTTAAAAAGGGATTAAAAGACGCCTGGAGAGACTGGCTCTGGCCTGCCTCTGACTAGCCATGACCACAGAGAATTTAGGGAGACTTGGCATTCCTGCTGCTGCAGGCAGGGACCCTCTGACCCCTCATGCCAAGATCACTGCAGTTATTAAATGACTGCTGTCTACTTCTTTCTGTTTCAGTCCAAACAATTATATATTACTATCTTGAAATAATTATCATTAAACATAATCCTAGTCTATTCTCTCCCTTATTCAGAAATCCTAAATAATTCTATAGTGCTTTTGGAGAAAACCCTAAATATAATGGAATATAATGGCCACCATGACCACTTTTCTATCCTGGACCTGATTCCCCATGTTTAAAACAGTCACCATAAGACAGAGTTAGGGGTTCCAGAGCCCTATCTCCTGGGATTTTTTTTTTCTGTGAATTTCTTTGGGTTCCGAGAAGAGCTTGGAAAACGCAGTCAGGAACCTGGGTTGTGTTACTACTTCTATCACGCTGACTGAGTGACCTTGAGTAAGTCAATTCCCACCTCTGGCATTTTGTTCTGAGGTTCCAAAAGATAGGGGAATGAGAAAAATATGTACAGTGTAGTGAGTTTTACATAAAGCCTTTTATTCTTTTTCGTTTTTACAATGTTAGAATGTCCTTTTTATGATACAATATTAGTAGATTATGAATTTCTTTTTTGATGTCCTTTATACTAAAAAGGGTGACTGTGAACAGCTTTCTGTTGTCCCAGGGAATACTTCTGAGTTTTGAAATCCAAAAGTATAGAATTCCTTGGGAGAGCAGCCACGTTTTTCAGACTTTTTGACTATATCCCTTAAAGAGAAAATGCATACTCATAGATAATTCATACTAGAATTTTATAAAATGATAGTGAAATATACATAGATAGGTTGTTTTCTTTTTAATGCAGTTTGGTACCTGCTAAACTTAATGACCCATTAAAGGGTTACCACTGAAAGTTTGAAAAATGTTGAACTAAATGATCTTGGAAATACTTTCCTGTTCAGTGGTTTTACATTTACATAACGTAACCTCACAATCACTCTGTGTCAAGAGCAGTTCTGTTGCTTGTACCGTTTGACAAAAATGAACGTGAGGGACACTGGGATGCAACCATGGCCAAAGGGCCAGTAAGCAGCAGAGCTCAGATTCACCCCCAGTTATCTGGCTCTCAACTGTAGTAGTGGTTTGTCTCCCGTGCCCCCAACTGCCTCCTTTCCAGGTTTTCTGAGACCAGTTAATTCCCACTGCACTCAGCTAGAGTGTGGGGTTTTTTGTTTTGTTTTTTTTTTTTAAGATTTAGGTACAGAGAATTGAGTTTACAGTATTTCTCTGTGTAGTACTTAAAGATATGCAGATCTTTTAATTTTTTTCCTTCCTTCCTTACCACTTCCCCAACTTTCTTTTCCCCATAGGAAGCCCTGCAGTTCTAATGCTTTTATTTTTGTTTTCCAATTCTGTTTTGATACACATGCTTGGATTTTATTTGTACCCTTGAAAAGCTAAAGCATTGTTTTGTATGCAAATTTAAAACTTCTATGAATGGCATTAAGCTTTGGATTATGTGTTCTGTTCCTTAATTCAACATTTTTTTCAAGATCTATTTCATGCTGCTGTCTGTGCATTTAGTTCTTTGCCTCTAACTGCTGCCGGGAGCACACACGTGCCTTCATACTGTATCATGCAAGTCCCTGAAGTGGAGCCCTAGATCCCTACCACTTCTGTCTCCACCATGAGCACCCTTGTGTATGTGCAAGCCTGTGGGTGGGTCCCGGTGCAGATTTCCGGGGAGGTAGCTGGGAGTGGAATTGCCGGTCACAGGACCTGCATTCAACCGAATTTTAGCAAGAGTATGCTCCCGAGTGACTGCAGCACTTTATATTTTGCTCAGCAGTGCGTAAGGATCCTGTTTTCTCTATATCCTTAGCCACATGTGGCATCATCCAGCATTCTAATTTTGCCGGTGTGATTGGCATAGAGTGGCCTCATTTTAATGTGAAAACCTTTGCGACTGAGCATCTTTTCGTATGCTCACTGGCTTTTTGTTTTTCCTCTTATGTAAATTGCCTGTTCATATTCTTTATCAATTTTTTGCTGTTTTCTGTGTTGTTGCTTTGCAGGAGAGCCTTAAAGTAGTTTAGTTCCTAAGGAGAATTAAGCCTTAAGGCGTGTATTGTACATAATAAATTCACTTTTCTCCTGTGCATCTAGAATGATACTATTTACTGATTATTCTTGGGGCAGTTGAGTCATTAAAATTACTTGCTGAATTTTGAATTTCAAATGAGAAATCTCAGCTGAGAAAATCTGTTGAAGATAATAATTTCTAGTCAGTTTTAGCTGTTAGTAATGTTTTCTTTTAGAATGTCACTTGTCTGTGGCAACTGTTGTTGAATAGAATTTTTTATTTTTTTTATTACAAATAGCCATTTATTATTTTTAAAGCATTACATATGTGTTATAAAATTTTAGAAAACACAGGTAATCAAAAAAATTAAAGCACCAAATATTCCTCCGGGTCTTTCCCTGTGTGTGTGTGTACACCAGAGTATGTCTTGTGTGTGTGTGTGTGTGTGTGTGTGTGTGTGCGCGCCAGAATGTGACCATGCTGTGTGTGCTAGCTTTTTTTAATACTTGCCATTTTTCCCTGTCAATAAAATTTTATTTAATATCCAGTGCATACACAGTTTCTCCATTTGTTCCAGAAATGTCTCTTAAAAATGTTTCATCTAAATGAGGTGCCATTCTAGATCTCTGCACTATATTTGGTTAGTATGTTCTTTAAGTTTCTTCCAAACCAAAACAGGTCTTTTTTCCTCCTGTGATGACTTGTTCAAGAGACCACTTGTACAATGACCCACTTTCCAAATTTTCCCTTTGTTCACTTATGGTATCATTTGTTACCCTACCCTATCATAAGTTTTATTAACTAGATAGTAGATTTAAAGGCTTGATATTAAAATGTTTCAGTTAGAACATATTCTCAGTATTGTTAGATATTTCATATTATGTTATTTGGAGAGACTGTAATATTGCAGTTAACAACCCATCATTTAGTGATGCTTAAAATTGGCCCCTACATTCAGGGTTTTTAATTTTTTTCCATTGTAGTTATATTTCCTTGTTGCCAACTCTCAAGTAATTTTTGTAATGTTATTTAAACCTTCTGAATGAATGGCAGTTACCCATCAGTCACACACCAGTTGGCAATCCTTCCCTCAATTAATTATAATTCTGTTGTTATTTTTGGCCAAAGTATATCCTTTTAGGGTTTTGTTTGAGGAGTTTTTCCTGTTTTACATTCTTTATTAGCTTTATAATTTTATCTTTCATATATGGGCTTCTTAAGCTAAATGAAATTCACAGGATTTAGCACTTTTTTTTTTGTCTTTCATAGACTGAGGTAGGTACCAGCATCCAAGATGGTCACCAAAAGTGTTTGCCTTTTACTTATTCAGGCTCTTGTTTAGTCCCCTTCCGTAGAGAAAAGGGCTGACCTATATAACCAATAGCATATTGAGTCTCCCTGGTGGCACAGGGGTTAAAGTCTCAGCACTATCAAGCTATCTACAACCACTGTGGCATGAGTTTAATCCCCAGCCAGGGAGCTGACCCACATGGCACAGCAGACCTCTCCTGTCTTGCCTGCTGCTCCCCTCAGCAGTGTATTTCAAGTCAGTCCACTTGTTCTGATTCTCACTCTGTCTGTCTGGTGAATCCTCTCATCTCCTGTAACTCTGGCCTGTACCCCAGTCCTTGTATGCTAAATAAATTGTTAAATAAATAAATAAAAATAAAACTGTAAAATATAACCAAGTGCGTGACTTCTAAAGCCAGGTCATAGAAAATAGGTTCTGCTTCTCTGTTGGATCATTCATTCTGGGGGGAACCAACTGCCATTTGAGGATACTCAGACAACCTCTAGGGAAAGTCTGCTTACTAAGGAACTGAAGCTTCCTGCCACCAGCCAGCACAAACTCCCAGCCACGGGTGCACTGTCTCAGAAGCAGTTCCTCTAACTAAACCCAGTCAGGTCTGGAGTAACAACAGCTCTCGCCGGCATTTGGATTTCAACTTAGAAAAGCTGTGTGCTAGGCCAGGATCAAGCAGCTGAGTCAATCTCAAGTTCCTGAACAGAAACTGTATGGAATAATAAATATTTATTGTTTTAAGCCACTTTGTAGTGATTTGTTACCCAAAATTATCTAGAATGGGATTCTGACATAACAAAAACCTACATTTTAGTAGGAGTGGCTTTTAAACTGGGAAGTGGACAGGAGCTGGAAGGACTTTGAAGAGAGTATTAATCAAAGCCTAAAGAGCTTTAGAGTCTGCTCAAAATTCTTTTGAATAGACTGCAGTGAGGAAGATATTACTAGAAGCTGGTAGAAAGGGGATACTTGATATGTAGTGGAAGAAGTTTAGCATATGTAGTGGTAGAAACAGAAAATGTGCCTACTGAAGTGGGTGACCTAGAGATTCCCAGACAGAATGTTGGAGGTACCACCAGGTTTCTTGTTTGTAGTATAATAAAGAGGAGAGGTAAACTAAAGCAGAAAAGGTAGAATAAAAAGCCAGCAATTACTGGGTTTGGAAATCTCCATCCTTCTCAGATAATGAATGATGTTAGAATTAACAAATGGCTTTCAAGCACATTAAGACCTCAGAAATACCTAAGAAGGTGCCTCAGAGAAGCATTCAGTCAAATGATAGCAGCCTAAAAGCTGAAGGATTTTGTCCCGTAGCAGTGTCGGCACAGCCTGAAGTAGGAGAGCTTATCTCACAGATTTGTGGGTTTGGCTTGTATCTAATGAACTGATTCACAAGACACCCATTATGATTTTAAGAGATATACTGGCAGAAATACTGCTAGCTTGGACTGAAAGGGATAGAGAATGCAAGAAGAGAAGAGGCCTTCGGATCCCCAGAGTTCTATAGGCAGGAAGCAAAAAGGAAGGAAACAAGCTACAAGCATGGACTGTCTTCTGTGGAAGAAGAAGGATGACTCGGCAGAATCAAGAGCCGTAGAGAATCATTCCTAGATGAGTAGGCAACAGAGCTCCCAACATTTGTTCAACTGGAGTCTGGAATTTCTATGAAGATGTGACTTCGTCTGCCTCCTGTGTCGACCGCCCTCACCCCCCGCCATTTTGAGTAAGAGTGCCGTAATGGTTATCCTGATGCCTGTCCATCACTTATTAGGTACATGGAAGAGATAATTTGTCTCTTTAGTTCACAGGTCTTCAGATCAAGAGGAAATGTATTTAACGAGCTATAGTTGAGGAACTACACCCCAAAGTGCCTCATCATGACCAGGACCTGATTTAGATGACAAGATACTGTACTTCAAGCTGATGCTATAAAGGCATAGGGGCTTGGGGGGAGAGGGATAAGTGGGTTTTGCATGTGGGAGGGATTTAAATCAGTGGGGGCCAGAAGGTGGACTCTGGAGCCCAGCCTCCAAGGCATCCCCAGTGATTCTTGTCCCCTGGTATGCATTCCCTTTTGTAGCTTCCTCCCACACAGAATAAGGCTGACCAGTCTAGGTCATCAAAGACTGAGAGGCCTCTACCTTGTTTTCCTGGATTTTTTGCTCTGGAGAAGTCAGTTCCCATGTTGAGGATACTCAACCTACCCTGAGACAGGGAGCTAGTTTCTTAATAGGATGAACTTGACTGCCATATGAACAAGCTTCTTCAGAAACATCCTCCAGACTTAGGCCTTCAGATTACTGCAGCCCAGCTCACTTGACTACAGCTTCATGAGAAACTCCATGCCAAAACCAGCCACCTACGCCGTTCCTGAATTTCTGACCCACAAAAACTGTGATAATGTGTTTGTTGTTGATTTAAGCTGCTGTACCCCAAAGCAATAACCAGTATACTTGCCATACTTTCCCTACTGACTTGTGGATTTGTGGTGTCTTCTGTAACTATGAATTCTCATATATAACACCAGCCTGTTTCCCAGTTGTCTATTGTGTTCCTTTGTTGTTTGTTTGTTTCTACAACAAACTGCACTGTTTGCCTACTACGGCTCATAGGATACCTTAATATCTGTTAGGGTCAGTCTTCTTAACTCTTGAAAAACTAACCAAAGGAATAGACCTTTATTCTTCCATAATCATTTTAGAAAAAGTTTTGAAGTTTAAAATATATATTTGGTGTTTCTGGGTTGAGGGGCTTTTAGCATGAAGATTCTAGAAGACAAAATAGGAAGCTCCCATTCCAGGAGATTCATTTATACAGCAGATACTTAGTGAGCATCTACTGATGCTCTGCATTGACTGTCCAGACCATAAGCAGACATTTTAGAAAATGAGGAAAAGTGAAGATAGTGAACTGACAATGTGAAAAGGAGGGAGTAGAAGAGACGACTTTAGCCAGGGAACATAGGGGAACCGGCACTCTCAGAGCTGGCATGTTTGGGCCTTCAGCTTGAAGCGCGGCCACCTTAACAATGCATGTAGACCGTCTCCAGGCAGTGGGAACCTCCAAGGGCCGGCAGGCACAGCTGATGTGTGCAGGGGAGAGTGGCAGGGCGGGGGTGAGACATGGAGTTTGCGTGCTGCAGAGCCTCCGGGCCACACAGGGGCTTGGATTGTTTGCCCAAGGCAGTGTGCAGCTTTTGAAGGCTTTTCATTGGGGGAAATGAGTGACCTTTGGTTATGCTGTTAACCACCTTCCACTTCTTCCCCAGCAAAAAAGGGAGAACCTGTCCCCGCTGTGCCTCATCCCCACGGTGACATCTCCCCGGGAGGAGCAGCAGCTCCTGGCCAGCACCTCCAAGGTGAGGCCCCTGAACTCCATAGGGTGGATGCTGGGGGCCTCTCCCTGCAGCCTGACCCCCATCCTTCTCCATCCTCTGTCCCCGACAGCCCGTGGTGAAGCTCCTGCACAACCGCAGTAACAACAAGTACTCGTACACCAGGTGACACCCATGGGGCGGGGGTAGCTGGGTGGGAGCCGTGGCCCAAACACAGCCCTGCTCCTGGCCCAAGGGGAAAGTGTTGCTCACAGAGGGGAGAAAAGAAAGCCTGCCGGGCAGGGGTCCAGCTCTGCCACTTCCCTATGGGCTACGTTGAACAGGTTATTTCACTTCTGAGCTTCAGTTTTATCATCAGCAAAACTGGATTCTGATGAAGATTAGGTGATAATGTCTAGCATTTACTGAGTGCTTATTTTGTCACAGTCATTGCTCTAAGTGCTTTACGTACATTAACTCAGATTCTCACGCTTGTTTGAGATTGTGCTATTGCGATCTCCATTTTACGGATGAGGAAATTGAGGCACCAGGAAGTGACTTGACTGTTAAAAAGTGGTGGAGCGAGGGTGGCAGATCAGGCAGCCTGGCTCCAGAGCCTGTGTGGTAGCCATTCTGCAGTGCTGGGTTTTGCTCAGTAAGTGCTACTTCCTTTCTGAGGCCTGTGTGACCTGGGCAGGGGTGGAAGAAGCTCCCTGGTGGGCACCAGACTCCACCTGTGCAGGACCAGAGTGGTGGGTGCTGGGCCCCTGTGCTGGGAGGAACAAGGGAGGGAGCCAGCGGTGCTGAGGCCTCCTGGCCCCCTGATCCTCAGCACTTCAGACGACAACCTACTTAAGAACATCGAGCTGTTCGACAAACTGGCCCTGCGCTTCCACGGGCGGCTGCTTTTCCTCAAGGATGTACTGGGGGACGAGATCTGCTGCTGGTCTTTCTACGGGCAGGGCCGCAAAATCGCTGAGGTGTGCTGCACCTCCATAGTCTATGCTACGGAGAAGAAGCAGACCAAGGTCAGAGGGCTTCAGGGCCTGTCAGGGAGGGGTGTGGTGGTGGGTGGGACAAGGGCCCTGGACAAAGGCTGCTCCGTGGGGCAGGTAGGGGACAGTTACTGCTGGGAGTCAGGAGTCAGAGTTCTAACTTCTGGAGCTGAGCTGTGTAAACTTTGAGCAAATCACCTTTGTGGGTCTCTATTTCTCTACTATGAAATGAGTGTGTTGGGATAGAGTGGGACTTTTTAAAAAAAGATTCATTTATGCATATAGAACTGGGATACAGGCCAGAGGCACAGGGGCAGTGAGAGGCTTCACCAGAGTCAGAGTGGGGAGCAGAACAGGCAGATCGATGAAATACACTACCGAGGGGAGCAGCTGGGGAGACAGGAGAGGTCTTCCATGCCATGTGGGTCACCTCTCTGGCTGGGATGGGAGTCTCACTGAAGCGGCTGTGGGTAGCTTCACAGCGCTGCACTTCAACCTGTTGCATCACCAGGGAGGGCCCGGAGTGGGACCCTTAACCTAGGTCAGTTGGGTTTCAAGACTAGTCCACTGATCTGTTATAGAGTTTCAGGAGTATGTTTGCATTTTTTGATATAAAAGAGCCAGAGTTGTCATTAGATTCTCTGAAGGCTTCATGACCCCATACAGTTTCTTCACACCTCAGGCCCTTAGGACACACAGGTCTCTTAGAAATCTCTGAGTTTGTAGTTCACTTACATAAACTCCTGTGCTCCTCCTGTGTTAAGTGCTGTGCCTGTCTGAAATTATGATGGATGAAATGCTGAGTGAATTATAAGCCCTCTGTCATGCCATCTAGCCCCTTATCAGCCAGGTCTCCTGACCTGGGGTTGTACGTCAGATAGACCAGAGATCCGTCTTGCTTGTCTGTAAGTATTCATTGCTATTTTACACCTCTCTACTTCTGCACACACTATACCTTCTTCTTGGAGTTACTTTTCTCACCCTTCTCTGCCTAAAGAACTTAATCTTTATGATCCAGGCTGAGTACTACTGTCTAGGAGACGTGTTTACTCATGAATTTTAAACTACTCCCTTAGCTAGACATGGTGTTTATTGTATTCTTCCAGGGTAGGAGCTAGCAAGGTGAGTGGGTGCTTACTTCAGCAGCAAGGTGTAAGCTTTTTGAGAGTAGGGCTGTTAATCATCCCCGCCCCCCGCCCGTCTATCTAGCAGTAGCTAGACCCTTATCACACAGGAAGTTATGAAACATTGATTGAGTGAGTGAACCAACTTCCAGGAAGCTTCCTTTATTACTGGGAAAACCAGCGATCAGAATGCAGTATGTTGTGAGCTGTGTTTTCCCTCCAAGCTGCATAAAAGGAACCCCCAATCATTTCTTGCTTTATCTCTTCTCTCTTCATCACTCTGTCTGGATGCCTTGGCCTTTTGCTGCTGACCGTCAAGTAGCCACTAAGTGGACCGCACCAGGGCTTCTACACTTAACTGTTGCCTTTTCCCAAACTGCTTTTTCACCTGGCTCCTTTGGCTTTGGTTGAATGTCACCATCTCAGTGGGGCCTTTTTGAACTTGAGAGCTGTCACATCCCTGGCCATGGCCTTCCCTATTCCAGTTTTCTGTATTTTTTGTACAACATTTGTCACCATGGGACAGTTTATAGTTTATTAAAGTTTGCCTCTGCTCTCCCCCTATAATGTAAACTTCCTGTGTGGGCAGGAACTGTTCAGGGATTCCTCTATCTTTCATGCCTAGAACAGCATGGAGTGCATTGACTCCATAAGTTATTTGTCAAGTAAAAGAATATACCAAGAGGCTTGACAGAAAATGAGATAAAGCAAATAGCTCTGCCTGACTTCAAAGCTGTATCTTGAAGTGTGACTTTGCTTAGTAAAGGAGTTGGAAAGAGGACAGTCCAGGCCACAACCTGTGATTGCGAAGACTGGGTTATGTGCCAGTGCAAGATCAGCGGGGGGCGGTGGGGGCTGGCCAGGGGTTAGGAGCTGGGGTTGCTGGCCTTTTGCAGGTGGAATTCCCAGAAGCGCGGATCTTTGAAGAGACCCTGAATATCCTGATCTATGAGACTCCCCGGGGACCAGACCCAGCCCTCCTAGAGGCCACAGGGGGTGCAGCTGGAGGCGGTGGGGCAGGTCGCGGGGAAGATGAGGAGAACCGAGAACACCGTGTTCGCAGGATCCACGTCCGGCGCCACATCACCCACGATGAGCGTCCTCATGGCCAACAGATTGTTTTCAAGGACTAACTTTCGTTCTTACTCAGTTTTCTTCCTGCTGTGGGACCAGGTTCCTCTCTCTCTGCCCCTTACCAGCCCTTTGCCCAGGCTTTGCTGGCCAAGTCGTGGGTCTGCCTTCTGTCCCTTCATCGCATGGTACAGTTCACCTCGGCCCTTTTCCATCCATCCCCACCTCAATGCTAAGAGCACGGTACACGCCACTCCCCTTGCAGCCTTTCAGAAGGCCTGTGGTCCTTCCCTCATTCCCGACCCTGCCCTGCCGTCTTCCCCCACCAGCTGGTGTAGAGTAATTTAGAACTCCTTTTCTCTCTTTTTAGTACATTGTACATGCCAAAGTGTCAAGCCAGCCCTGATTAACACCCACGACATTCGGCGCCACCTCCCAACCATTGTGCAGAGTAGTTTGCCTCTCTCCTTCCCCCGCCATTCTCCCTCCCTCTTTAACTTTGTACTAGTCTGGCCTGGATCTCACCAGCCCAGCTATCTTATTGGTCTGTTTCATATTATTTATTATTTTAATTTTCTATTAAATTATTGGAATAAAGTTGAGTTGAGGTTTTGGTGCTGGTTCCTGGGGAGAGGGCCAGGAGATGGCTTATGTTAAGTGTTAAGGAGGAACAAGACTATTTGGAAGGGGGGAGACATGAGCCCCACTCCCAAACATTTCCCCAGGAGGAAAGGAGTCAGGAGTCCGGAGAGGATTTAAAATCTGTATTTCAGTGTTCACTGGCCAGTTCCCACCCGCCACCGCACCCTCCCCCTGCAATGGAGAGGAGGTCCTGGCTGACATTCAAGTCGTCCCTTGGTGCACCATCTCTCCAGGAAGGAAGGAAGGTGAAGAGGACACCTTCCTTCAAGGGTCTGGTGCAAAGACAAAGTCGAGGGCCTGGCGCTCAGCCCCAGCCACGTTGGGATGCCACAGGTCCACAATGAAGACCACTCGCGGCCCATCATCAGGGGAGCCTAGGGCATGTGAGGATGGAGACAGGAGAGCAGCTGAAAGCACTCACCAGACACTCAGAAAAGCACTCAGTAAGTGCCAGGCACTGCTCTAACCTCTTAAATGTATTAATTGTTAGTCATCAAAAATCATTGAGGTCTTATAATAATCCCACTTTATACAAAGTAACAGGCTTAAAAAGATGAACTAATTTGTCTAGAGCCACACAGCTAGTAAGTACCAGAGACTCAACAAGAGCCTAGGGTTTTTGCCATGCACCTACATGACATTATTTAATTCTTGCAGTTGCCAGATAGCAAAGTTGCCCATTTTCACTGTTGATTGGAGAGGTCACATGACTTATCCCAGATCATGCACTAGAAAATGGTGGTGCTAGGAAAGGAAACCACTTGGGCCAGATTCTGCAGTTCCCTTCACTCTTAGCATTCTGTTCTCCCCGGCTTAGCGGAATAGCATCCCCATTACCATTATGAGCCACTGTGTGCAGGAAGGAGTCATCCACCAGCAGGCAGTGTCCCTCAGCCCAGCACTGGGGCTCACCGCCGACCACCAGCTCACAGCCAGGGGGGATCTTCAGTCCTGTGGAGAGAGACCTGGGCATCCAACATTTCTGGCTTTGTTGCCAGGACCTACCCCTTTCAGTCAATAAACAGATCTGAGAGTCTTAAGCACCAGGTTCTGCGGTGTGTCCTTCCTTTCCCAGGGTAACCTAAGTAGAATTCTACAGTATTGATGAAAGAGTGCTTAGGCACAGGAGAAATTCACAGTCTGTTTTGTTTCAGAGAAAAGGGAAAGTTTTTGGAGGAAGTGGCATTTCCTGGGCCTTTGACCATGCCACCTAAAAACCTACACTATGTTAGGGCCCTTTTTCTCCACTGTTGCCTCCATTTGAGTCCAGAGACCACAGTTGAGCAGCCAACTCAAATGGTGGCAAACAGGAAGCCATCCAGAGGAGGTGTGGCACTTGAACATTTGAGTCCTGAGGCCAAGTTGGGGTTTTCCAGAAGGTGCTAATGGGGAAGACATTTTAGGTTAAGAGTATAGTATGTATGTGGGTGGAGTCCACCAGGACCAGAAGGTCTTCATAATTTTTTAATTGGGAGTGGGGGCTTCATGACTTAGAGCATGGTGGGAGGGGAGGGAAGAGAGAGAAGGGGCAGCGATCAAGGACACGAAAGATCTGGCCTGGGTGCAGAGGCCTGGATGTCTCTCTCCAGGACAGAACACGCCCAGTTGGTAGCATAGGAGATGATTTTTTTTAAAGACTTTTTTTCAAATAATAGTATAGTTTATTTTTACATCATTTTGTGCCTTTTCCCATCTCAGTTGTAATCCCCGTGGGCTTCCCTCCACAATTCACCCGTGTGCCATCACCATAGTCCCGTGCTCTCCCCCCCCCCATTTTTTATCCCATTCCCCACTCCACCCCTGTAAAATGTCTCTAGTATATAGTTCTTCATTATTACTTTCATAGGAGATGATTTTAAGCAAAACAAGATTGTGTCATTGAGTAACAAAAAACTTTTCTTTTGAACTTTCAATCTTTTAAACAATCAAAAAATCCCAGTTTGGTGCTACCAGATAGTTAACACCCCACTTACATCACTCCCTTCTAAATTAAGAGAGAGGCTTCAAGCTTAGACTATTTAACTAGAATTTTTTTAAGTTTAAGTTTGTATTTATGAAGACTTTATTGCGGGCACATAATACTGATTTTCATTGTACCTGGTGTTTAAGACCCTCAGGCTGACTGAGAATTCCCTTTAAATGATACATGATAAAACATGGGGGCAGGCAATATGTAGACTCAGTACAGGTAGCAAATGACCATGCAAAACATAGGAAGATGGTGTGCGGAAAATACGACAGGCAGCAGGAATTGGTGAGAGAGTTCAGAGAAGAGAAGCATGAACAAAACCTCAGTGTAGCAAAACCTGGTATAGATCTGGGGGTAAGGAGGATGGTTTGTAGGCAGCATCTACTTACCCAGATGACATCTGACCCTGGCATTGGTGGGCCCACAGCGGCCCTCAAGCCGGGCACCAGGCAGAAGAACAGAGAAACCAGCATTGCCGAAGGTGTTGGCACTCATAAAGCTCCGCAGCCCCCTCAGTGCCCGATAGGCCCCTGGGCACCGGCGGCAGTTACTGGGTTGGCACCGGCCTGCTTGGTACAGCAGGAGCTGGTAGCACCCAGGGGCAAGGGGTGGGGACCAGCCCCGAGGCAGAGGGGTAGTCCCTGAGAAGTCCCAGTTCACAGCTCCAAAGTCCCGCAAGATGGCAGGGAAGCTGCTCTCCAAGAGTTCCACATCATGCCGCTGGGCATCCCGTGGCACAAAGGGAGCTGAGGGCAAGTCTGGCAGGAAAAGCAGGCCTGGACGCTGAATGCCCAGGATGCCTGGCCCTCCCCCAGGGCCTGGGCCACCCTGAGCTGCCCGCCTCACCCTACCCATCCCTGCCCAGGAGTAGCGCCTGGCATAGGCCCGAAGGCGACGACTCACTAGGCCTTCTGCCCTTGGTCCTTCCCCAGGCTCCCGTGAACTCCCTGAGCTTGGCCCTCGAGGCTTAGAGCATCCCCCAGACTCACCACTGACACCCCCAACCCCTCTCCCACCCCCCAGAGCCTGCATGTCTTGGGATCCCAGGCGGTAGCAGTACCAGAGGAAGAGGGAAGTAAGGGCTCCAAGGAGCAGGGTGAGGGCAGAGGAGGCTAGGGGCAATGGCCATGCAGGCATGATGGGCAGGGAGGCTCTGGCCAAGAGGCCTGGTGCATCCTCCAGGCCCCAGCTCCCCTGTCCCCCTAATTCTTCACCCCTTCCTTCCATGGTAGCCTCTCCAGGGCTCTTTCCCTGCCACATCTCACTCTTGGTTCTCCTGCCGTCTGGTCTTCCCTGCACTTTGTATTTTCTCCTCCTGTAGGGGCCTCCAACCCCCCTTTCCTTTTCTTTCCTTCTATCTCCTTCACTCTCTCCAACCTCTTCTCTCTCCTTTCAACTCCCCTCTCTCCGCCTCTAGCAGTTTCCTCTCTCACGCTGTGGCTCTCCCTTTCCCCACCTTCTGACTCCCCCTGCCCTTTCCTTCTCCTTCCTCCACCCAGCCCCACCTTTAGCTTTCTCTCCCCCCTCCCCCACTTCCCTAGCTTCCCCGGACCGCAGCTCCTACCCGACTTGGACCTGCAGCCGGGGAACCCGCAATCAGTCTTCACAGCAGCAGATTCTCTTTCCTCCCCCCTCTCCTTTCTGCCCTGGCTTCTCTTCTCCTTGGACCCGACCCGCGGGCCCTGCCTGTCTCTCTGCCTCCCTCTCTCCCTCTATCTCTCCCACACACACTCGCTCCTTCCTTGGCTCCCACTCTCCCTGACGTCACCCCTCCCCACAGTCCTCTCAGCTTAGCTACCCCCGCCCCCACCCAGTAGCAGCCGCAACTCTGGCGGAGGGGGGAAGGTGGAGGAAGGGGAGTCGTCTTCGGATTTGCCTCCCACTGGGCCGCACCGGGCGCCACGTGGGGCTCAGGGGGCACTGTGCCAACCTCCATCCGCCCCGCAATGCGAAAAGAAGGGGCGGGGCCTCTGGCTGGGAGGGCAAACCAAGGGGCGGGGCGAGTACAAGGGCGGGTGCGAGGACCGGTGGAGAAGGCCGGCACGGGCAGACAGCGAACAGGGATTCCACAGCCGGTCCATGGGTCAGTCTCTACCTCCACCTGCGAGCCCGTGACGCCCTCTTCTCACCCGCTGTCACAGGAGTCAGTCCCGGTGGATAGTGATGGTGGCTTCGGCCAATCACCCCTGGCGTCGGGAGTCAGCCCGTGCAGGCGGGGCCGAGAAGAGCTGTCCTCCCGCTGGTGGTGCTGAAAAGGGAGTTGCAGAGGCGTTGTGAGGGAGGCCAGAAAGAGGGTAGGAATCAAAGCAGAAGCCTCCAGGCAGCTGGCCAGGGCTCATGTTGTATGTAAGAGGGGTCTCCCTTTCCCAGCTCCCACCCCATCACCCCCTTGTACTTCTCACAAATGTGAAAACTTGCCATTCTCCTGGAAGAGGGGCAAGTTCATTCCACATGAGCTTCTGTAAAAGGGAAAGGGAAGTCCCATAGGGGGTATGGATATGGGAAAGGGACATATTGGGGGGTGTGAGCCTGCCTCTCAGCACCCTGGGAAGAGGAGATATAGATTCCAGATGTGCTGGAATGGCGGTGTGCTTCTGTGTGTGTGTGTGTGTGTGTGTGTGTGTGTGTGTGTGTGTGTGTGTGTGTACCGAGTAATTACTGCTGGGACCGGAGAGTTTCCTTTGCTTCCCCTAGGGGCCGCGGGAGTGAAGATTACGGTCCTGACTCATGTGGTCCCTCCTTCCTCCATCTGCACTTCCTCCTCCCCCCTCCTCTCACCCCCAAATAAATCGCAGGCCCCTCCCTTCGCCCGTCCCCAGGATCTGACGTGGACTCGACACCTTTCTCAGTTTCTCCCTCCTGCAGCTCCAGTACCCGAGCTTTGGCTCTCCAGGTTCTGCACCCCCCTCCCCCTCTGGCCAGGACTGGCTAGAGTCTAGTAGGGATTCTTCCGATCGACCCTACATCCACCCCAGAACCATCCCCACCAAGCTGTTTTGCCTCTCTCCATTCCCAGCTTGGGATCCAGAAGCCCGGTGGACCGAGGTGCCTGAGTAAGAGGGTAAAGCAAGCTACCCGGCCCCTTCGGCCTTCTCGGCCCCACCCCCTGCAGCCGGAGCCGCGCCCCCTCTCCCACAGACCCAGGAGCAGAGAGGACAGAGGAGACTGGGCAGCGAAGGGTGGGCTTCCCGAGACTCCCGGTACAATTCTGCCCTTCCATCTCAAGGGGCAGTTCTTTGCTAACTGCTAGCAAGAAAAATTGTCAAAGGAAAGATAAAAAGACGGAAGAAAGGTGACAGCTTGATTATTTAAGAGAGACGCAGAGGAGAGAAATCAGTGTGAGTCGCCATGGGGACTCCCAGGGCCCAGCACCCGCCGCCTCCCCAGCTGCTGTTCCTGATTCTGCTGAGCTGTCCCTGGATTCAGGGTAAGGACGTGGGAATGTGGGGGTGGGCCCCAAGAAGGCTCCCAGGGGATCCTCTCCCCTCCTTTCTCCTAACATCCTGGGCCTTTGGTGCTCCTGGGGGAAGGGAAGAGCACAGCCGACAAGGAAGGTGCTTTCTGGCTTGTGCCGAGAGCCCTAACCCCCATGTTGAGGTGGAGGAGAAATGAATGAGGGGAACTCTTTGCAGGGTTTTAGGGGTTAAGTCCAGGAAGGAGGGCTGGGGAAGGGGGGGGGATGGACTATCTGCGGAGGCGGCAGGAGCATGCAAGGGTACCTGGTTGGGAGATGGAGGTGCCGGGAGAGATGCCAGGCACTGCACTCTATAGTGCTCTTGGACAGATGGACAACGACAGGCGAACAGAGGCAGTGCTCAGGGCCAAGGACTCATTCCTTTCTTACCCCCAGCTAGACCCCAGGGGAGGGGGCAGAGACTGTAGGGAGAGGGGCAGGAGGAGGAGAGAGAGAGAGAACACCACACTGCAGGGACAGAAACCCGAGAGAAAGCTGGGCGCTGCGGAGCAAGGGGCTGGGAGACGCTGCCAGACCCTTCACAGAGTCCCAGGGTCGTGGCGAGAACAGACTGAGGTGAAAATGAAAGCAGCACCATTGCCCCTTCTCTGCCCTACTATGCTGACCAGGGTCCATAAGAGCCAAGGCGCTCACCTAAGGCCACAAAGCCTGGGTGGAAAGGGGGAGAGGAAGGTGTAGCAGTGTGAGGGACAGCTCGCGTCTCTCTTTCAGTTTTGGCTCCCAGCCCAGCCTGGACCCTCTGAGCCATGTGTCCAGCTGACACAGGAGGGAGGAAGAGCTCTGACAATATCTTTCTGGAGATGGAAGGAGTGTGGGGTAGCAGAAGGGCTCACACAACTTCATGTCCTAGGTCTGCCCCTGAAGGAGGAGGAGGCACTGCCGGATCCTGGAAGGGAGACCCCGACAGTGGCCTCTGAGGCCTTGGCGGAGCTGCTCCATGGGGCCCTGCTGAGGAGGGGCCCAGAGATGGGCCACCTGCCTGGTGAGGCCCCCATAATGGCAGGTTTGACATAGAGGCAGAGGGAGGACATTAACTCAGGGAGAAGGGGAGCCAGACCCGTTAAATCAGACTGAGACAGAGAGCCAAAAGTGGTGTAGTTGAAGAACCAGAGAAATCAAGACAGAAAGATGAAGAGAGAGTGTCAGAAAAATAGACACGTGAAGAAAAAGATAGCTGGAAACCCAGAGAACCAGAATCAGAGAGGCGGTGGGAGACAGGCAAGGAAGAGCGAGGGAGAGAAATGTCGAGACCGGCCAATCCAGAATCATAAAATCAGAGACTGATACTTTAGATAGAGTCTCAGAAAGAGCCGAGGACAGAGAAAGGGATAACCGGGAGAGGGTACCAAATCTGAGTGGGGAGGCAGAGAGAGCTGCGGGGACTGTCAGAGAACAAGGGCCTGGGGAGAGGTGGAAAGGGTGGGGTGCTGGGACAAGGAGGGGACTAGGCTGTGGGAGCCTTGGAGGGAGGGGGGAGTTTGGGCGGGGGAGCAGTGGAGTACCTGTACCTGTGGGGGAGGCTTTGGGTTCCTTGGGCTCAGCCTGCTCCCTACCCGAGGCAAGCCAGCGGGCTTCTCCTGTGCCTGACTTCCTTCGCACTGTCCCAGGATCTGATCCAGACCCCACCCTAGCCACCCCTGCAGCCGGCCAGACTCTTGCAGCGCCCTCTCTGCCGCGGGCCACTGAGCCAGGGCCGGGGCCTCTGACAACTGCTGTAACCCCTAAAGGGGGCAGGGGGGCAGGCCCCACCGCACCAGAGCTGCTGACCCCACCCCCAGGAACCACGGCCCCGCCCCTCCCCGGCCCCGCCTCCCCAGGCCCACGCCTCGAGGGAGGGGAGGAGGAGACCACGACCACCATCATCACCACGACAACTGTCACCACGACAGTGACCAGCCCAGGTGAGGCGATGGGATGCGGATGGGGCTAGTGTGCAAGCGTGCTGGTGCCGGAGTGGGAGAGGGGACAGACGGAGCCGCCCCGTGGGAACTTGCGGAGGAAGCGGGGACCTGGGCACGGGTGGCGGGAGAGGGGCCTGCTTACTGCGGACTGCGAGCATTTTGTCCCTGCCCCGTGTTATGGACCAGTACGGCTGTGTGTTTTATCTGTATCACAGTTGTGGGGGGCAGTTCTGGGCACCGTGAGGGGTGCTGGGGAGAAGGCCGGCGAGGAAGCTCGCTTGCTTGCCCGGGAGGGCAGGAGCACCCGGCTTCTCTCAACCCCGCCACTATATCTCTCTAGTTCTGTGTAATAACAACATCTCCGAGGGCGAAGGGCATGTGGAGTCTCCAGGTTTAGGGAGCACTGCCAGCCAGACCGTGGGGCTCCTGGACTGCACCTATAGCATCCATGTCTATCCTGGCTATGGCATCGAGATCCAGGTAACTGGACTTGAACTTTGATTCTGAAGCCTCCAGGCCCTTTCTATGGGCCCATGGGTGTGCATAGCTTTGACCTGGGAACCATAGACCCTGTTTTCTTATTCAAACGGGCCTGTTTTCTCTAAGACTCCCCTAGAAACCTACAACTTGGCCAGTGGTGCCAGTTTGGGTCGCCACAGACAGGGGAAAGGAAGCCAAGGTCCGGGGCGGGGGGGCCCTGGGATTCACACACCCTGGCCAACGCCATGGTGGGTCTGGGTCTGGCTTCTTTAGGTGCAGACACTGAACCTGTCTCGGGAGGAGGAGCTCCTGGTGCTGGCTGGTGGGGGGTCCCCAGGTCTGGCCCCCCGACTCCTCGCCAACTCCTCCATGCTGGGAGAAGGACAGGTCCTTCGGAGCCCAACCAATCGGCTGCTCCTACACTTCCAGAGCCCAAGGGCCCCAAGGGGCGGTGGCTTCAGGATCCACTATCAGGGTGAGCAGTTTCAGGGTGCTGAGGGGAGGGCAGGGACCATACTGGGCACAGGGGACATATCCTGGAGCGCTACAAGTACAGAGTGAAGTGGGGTTTTCCCCTCTGTTAGCACTCTGGGGGTAGGGAGGGAGAGGCCTATGCCTTCTCCCCCATTCACAGACCAGGGTCTGTGTGTGCTTGAATCCGTCACTCAACAAGGGCGTGCTGAGTGCTCCCTGCAGCCAGCCCTGCATTAACTTTGGGAAGAGGAATGAACAGGCGGGTGTTAATTGGACTTCAAAGAACTCAGAATGTGGGTAAGGAGATGAACATGGAATCATGATTATTACGTAACTAGAAGAACCCATATCTACGATGGAGGCCACCCAGCAGAGGGAGCAGATACCCAAGGAGCCACACTCTTCTAAGGGACACAGGGACACCTTCGGGGAGGAGGTGATGACTAAATGGAGACCTAAAAGATGAGTTAGCTCGAGAAAGAAAAGTGGGAGGGAGA